TCTCCTTTAGCTTTCCTTAGTTTCCTTTCAAAATCTCTAGTTTCCTTTTGTTTGATTGCATTCATCTTCGGTTTTCTTGCAGTTTCTCGTAGTTTCCCAGAGTGTCCGTCAGTTTCCTAGCTATTTTTCGGAGTTTCCCAGGAGTTTTTTAGTAGCTTCCCATAGCTTTAGCTTGCTGCTGCTTCTTGAGAATGTTCTTCAGAGAGTAATGTGAACAAAAAAGATAATTAATTTATTCTATAGAAACAACTTTATATTGGCGATTCCTTTCCAGTCAAGGGATAAGTGAATCAGAATGATGAACGTTACTTGTGAATATGTTGAACGTTTACTACACCGACATCCAGATATAAAATCATTACCACGAATGGATTTAACTAAACAACAACAAACAGGTATGGATAAGCCACAACAATAAAATTTTCTGTCGAAAGGAGCCTGTCGGATTTCAAAAGGTTTTGCAGAGCAAAAATAATAATGAAACGCTGAATAGAATTAATTATATAGTATAATAACCACACACTACGTTCGCTGATCGTGTCTTCATGAGAGAGGATATTACATGTCACGATGAAATTTTTATTGAAATGATAAGAAAAGCCAGGTTTGCATTATGTGTTCCAAATACATTTTGCCAATGATTTTCACTTCCACCTGGCCCACCTTGATTTGGCCGTATAACTTCAGTCTCTTGCTCTTGGACAGGTTTATTATGTCGAACAAAGCAGAGGAACAAAACGATTAACAATATTTGCAAACCACATAACCTGATAGAGAAAAGAATTCTGAGCAAAACAAGATATCTCCCTGCTGTCTATAACGCTTTTTCACCAGAATATTCACAACGACTTGGTTTTCTAGCTTCACTATTTCCAATTCCACACCAAAACGTACGCTGCTGCCGCCCATATACGTGGCAATTTTAAATCACCCGGTGATTATGTGGCTAATTATGTATCTATCGGTCCACGCTGTGTTGCTTTGGTCGTGGACATTACCGCGAACGACAATACCGCGAACGACATTACCGCGAACGACAATACCGCGAACGACATTACCGCGAACGACTTTACCGCGAACGACATTACCGCGAATGACATTGCAGCGAACGACATTACCGCGAACGACAATACCGCGAACGACATTATCGCGAACGACATTACCGCGAAGACTTGTTTGTTGGAAAAGCCGAATGAATGAGGCCGGTTTTGTATTTTGTACATCATGTTTGGTTTTCTAGCTTTCACTATTTCCAATTCCACATCAAAACGTACGCTGCTGCCGACCATATACGTGGCAATTTTAAATCACCCGGTGATTATGTGGCTAATTATGTATCTATCGGTTCACGCTGTGTTGCTTTGGTCGTGGACATTACCACGAACGACATTACCGCGAATGACATTGCCGCGAACGACAATACCGCGAACGACATTACCGCGAACGACAATACCGCGAACGACAATACCGCGGTAATGTCGTTCGCGGCAATGTCATTCGCGGTA